GTGCCCACCTGGGGCATTCGTCAGGCTTGGAGCCCTCTCAGAGAAGCATAGGAAGTTTCCTATTGCCAGGGAAAGAGAGGATTTTTTTTTAAAGTTTTGAACAAATATGTTTATTAAAAAGTCAAAGTATTTGGCCGGGCGCGGTGGCTCAAGCCTGTAATCCCAGCACTTTGGGAGGCCGAGACGGGCGGATCACGAGGTCAGGAGATCGAGACCATCCTGGCTAACACAATGAAACCCCGTCTCTACTAAAAATACAAAAAAAAAAATTAGCCGGGCGTCGTGGCGGCGCCTGTAGTCCCAGCTACTCGGGAGGCTGAGGCAGGAGAATGGCGGGAACCCGGGAGGCGGAGCTTGCAGTGAGCTGAGATCCGGCCACTGCACTCCAGCCTGGGCGACAGAGCGAGACTCCGCCTCAAAAAAAAAAAAAAAAAAAAAAAAAGTCAAAGTATTCACATATGGAGGATGGCTGAATTTTGGAAATAAAGGCTGGAGATAAACCCCTAAAACTTCATCCAGGGCCATGGCTCAGATCCAGGGGTCTGTTCATCAGCCCTGGTAAGGTGGACAGTCCCTTCTATTTTTAACAGCTTTATTCCAATATAATTCACATAAACTTCACCCATTTAAAGTGTAGAATTCAATGGTTGTTGGTATTTACACAAATCTCTAGTTCTAGAACTTTTCTATCACCCCAGAAAGAAACCCCCTCCCTCCCAATTCTCCCTACCTCTCAGCCCCTGGCAACCATGAGTCATGGATTTGCCCATTCTGGACTTTTCACATTACAGAGGATTCTCGTCACGTGTGGTAGTTTGTTCTCTAAAATTGACACGGTCACTGAATTACTGAGCACGGAACCATTGCTTCCAGGGGAATACAGGCTTAGGTTCCTGTGAGCCTCTGGTCACAACATTCTCATCAATACACAATCCTTGAATAATGAGAATCAACTCCAAAAGTCATCATACAATATGGGAACTTCTATGTCTGGCTTCTCTCACTTTTAAACATAAGGTTTCTGAGGTTCATCCATCTGTAGCATGTGTCAGTGCATCATTTTTTTACGGCTCAATAATATTCCACTGCATGACTAGACACACACACGCATGCACACACTTTGTTGACTAGACACGTGCATGCACACTGCTGACTAGACACACATGTGTGCACACTTTGACTAGACACATGCACATGCACGCACTTTTTTTACTAGACACACACGCACATGCACACACTGTTGACTAGACAAACGCGCATGCACACACTTGACTAGACACGTGCGTATGCAGTTGACTAGACACACACACGCATGCACACTCTGTTGACTAGACACACACGCGCATGCATGCACTTTATCCATTCATCAGCTGATGGACGCGTGGGTTGTTCCCGCCTTATGGATATTGTGAATAATGTTGCTATGAACATTTGTGTACTTTTTGTGTGGGTGCATTTTTCCATGTGCTAGTATTTTGCTGAAGGGTTTTTACATCTACATTCATAAAGGAATGCTATTCTGTAGTTTATCACTGTGCCTTTGTATGGTTTGGAGGAAGAGATTATTTTAAGCAACAGATTAATTTTTCTTTTTTTCTGAGACGGAGTTTCGCTCTGTCACCTAGGCTGGAGGGCAGTGGTGCAATCTTGGCTCACTGCAACCTCCGCCTCCTGGGTTCAAGCAATTCTCCTGCCTCAATCCAGCGAGCAGCTGGGACTACAGGCACGTGCCACTACATCTGGCTAATTTTTATATTTTTTAGTAGAGATAGGGTTTCACCATGCTGGCCAGGCTTGTCTCGAACTCCTGACCTCAAGTGATCCACCTGCCTTGGCCTCCCAAAGTGCTGGGATCACAGGCGTGAGCCACTGCGCTCAGCTGAGAAACAGATTAATTTTTTTAAGCATAATTGGGGTCTATTTCGACATGTATTAGGAGAATGCTGACTTTTCCTCTGTGATCGTAAATTCTCTCTTAAAATATATTTAAATAAAATATGTCCGTGTAGAGAAAGTTATTAAGTAAATAACAGAGTGGGTACGGCTGCAGTAGAATCATAAAAATAGCATGACCGTGACTGACCCCTCAACACCCCTGCTGCAGTAAAAAGGCTGTGGGATTGAGTGTTGCCTCTCAGGGGGCCTCAGCTCTGCCCCAAACACACAGATTACTAAACATCCGCACAGATTCCTATGCAGGGAGGGTGCCTGACTGTGCACAGGATACAACTGCCCCTAATCGCCACCTGGAATGTCGTCATCTTTACAGTCAAATCCACTGAGGACAGTGAGAGGCAGCTCTGATTTTCCCAAGGACAGGACCGAGGGGCCAGTGATGTATACGCAGGACCAGCCAAGGGCTTGTCATCAGCAGATTTCGCTATTAAGCCCTGACAACAACCCCAGAGGCAGGCACTGCCACCGGTGCTACAGGTGAGGACATTAGAGCTCTGCAGGACAAGGCGCGTGTCTGTGTCACAAAGCCAGGGAGAAGGTGGGGTCTGAGTTCGGGTCTCCCTAGCTCCACGCTGTAACATGACAGAGAAAGGCAGGGGCTGCTGGCGACATGCTCACGCTACAACCACGAGACGTAGAAATCCTAAGCCAGCTAGTTAAACTGGGCTACTACTCAGAGGGCAGAGGAAGAAGGAAAAAGAAATGACGAAGACTGAACACAGGCCCAGCCAGCAAGCTGGAAAGAGGCGGAGCTGTCCAAGCCGCTGCTGGAGGTTAGTACATCCCCACTGGCAACACACAAGCCCACTTTCTGGTCCCACCTCAGCTTTGGTGCATCCCGAGTAGAGGGTGCCAAGACTCCTGGGGCCAACTGCCAAAGGGCACGGTGCCTTCTGCCGGCCTTCACCCCAGCTCCACAGTCAACAGGGCCAAAAGACTTGTTTCCTGCACAACGGGCAACAAAGCCTGCGTGCACATCTGCAGGTTACACCACACCTTTCTTCACACCATTGCTCAACCCACACCATGTGTCAAATGCTGTGACCTCGGATGGCAGGGGTACAGCCAGGAGCACACGCCCCGCAACGCTCCTGGTCGGTGGAGACGGACGGCAAACTAGCTCTGTGAGCAAGGGACAGAGCACAGAGGAAGCTGAGTAAGAGCACAGAGGACGACGTGCAGAGGGGAACACGGGCTCATCAGATCAAGCAGCTGAGACCAGGCCTTCCTGAGAAGGCAGCCTGTGAACAGATACAGATACCCAGGCAATGTGAAGGAGTGGAGAGTTCCAGGTCGGGGGGCAGGGCGCACAGGCCTCCATTCCAGGACCAGCAAAGCAGCAGGTGGCCACTGCAGACGGCAGCATACAGAGGACCGAGGTGTGGCGTGCTGGAGGCTGTGCAGAACCCTGCAGAAACAGTGAGGGTCCTTGTCCCCCAGCAACCCTGAGGGACTGATGCGGAAGCTGAAGCTCAGCCCGTCCCCCAGGCCACTGTGAGGAAGTGACAGCTGTGTTGACTTCTCAGCACCATCAGCAGGATACCCAGGCCCAGCGAGAACTGCAGATGCAGAGTGTTCTGATCTTGTGCCAGAGAATCTGTCTGAAGTGAGGTCAATGAGTCTCCTGCCGTTCCCTTCATCACCACAGATGGGAATAACAGCCATTGCTAGTATTTACAGAGCAGGGGCGAGGAGCTGGCGGCACGCTGCTCAGCATCACCCTTACAGAAACTGGATGGGGGCTACTATGTGAGTACCCTCGTTTTGCAAAGCAGGACACTGGGGTGAAGGAGGCGGAGGGCCTCGCCTGAGAACTCGCCCAGCCTGCCTCCCGCCCAGCACCCTGCTGCTGCTTCCTGTAGTCTCAGCTCAGGCTTTCCTCCGGGAAACCTCTCCTAGCTGTCCCAGAGACTCTGGCAGCAGATCCACGAGGGCAGACAGGGCACACGGCAACCTCACTTTGCAAGTGTCACCACTGGCTGCTTGGCTCCTTGAGGTGGTCAGTGTTCACCACGTGCACTGCGGGGCCGCCCAAAGGAGGAGAGGCAGTCAGTTATAAAAATGCCATTTTCCCAATATCAAGCCTCACCTGCAGGTCCTTCTTTCTTTCAGCGTATTATTTTGAAACAACAAGGGTCTCCGAAGTTTGGAGATGGAAAAAAAAATCTAAATGCATTTTAGAGACGTGAGCAGTATGAGGTCCCACAGTACGTCAGCAGCAGGGCACCCCTTCCCTTTCAGCCATTAACCTATGTTAGTAATTTATTTATTTATTTATTTTATTTTATTTTATTTATTTTTTTTTTTTGAGACGGAGTCTCGCTCTGCCGCCCAGGCTGGAGTGCAGTGGCCGGATCTCAGCTCACGGCAAGCTCCGCCTCCCGGGTTCACGCCATTCTCCTGCCTCAGCCTCCCGAGTAGCTGGGACTACAGGCGCCCGCCACCTCTCCCGGCTAGTTTTTTGAATTTAAAGTAGAGACGGGGTTTCACCATGTCAGCCAGGATGGTCTCGATCTCCTGACCTCGTGATCCGCCCGTCTCGGCCTCCCAAAGTGCTGGGATTACAGGCTTGAGCCACCGCGCCCGGCTAGTAATTTATTTTAACATAAAATGATATTATTAGTTATGGCGGAACTGGGCCTCAGAGCTAAAAGTTAACCAGTTATCATCTAAAGCTAACATATTCCCTACTCCCAACGAGATGATGGAAAGCACGCGCCAGTAACCCCAAGTTTCATTCTGAGGCCACTGACTCAAGCCTCCTTATCATTGAGTTATTTCACTTCTAGTTAAACGACTGGAAGTATCAATATTACTCTTTCTTCAGTATTTAAAAGTCAGAAGTCAATACCATTTAAGGTAGAAAACACAATGTGAGTATTTTAAGTATATTAAATTAATGTTGATCAAACACATTTTAATTTCTTTAATCTCCTACTACAGGTTAGAAAACAGAACCAAATGTAATGACAGAAAAAATGGAAAACTGTATTTTAAAAATGATTGTTCAACAAGACCAGGCAGCCACTCAACCACTTCAGTACCTCGTTTCTGGATGAAGACCCTGAGCAGGGGGTTTGCACTGGAAACCGCCTTGCAGAAGTTGTCGTCATTGTTGATGGGCAGCAGGTCTCCGTGCACATCTGCGTAGCCAATAGTTACATCACTGTTGGAGATATGGTGGGTGTGCACAACCAGCTTGTAGAAATCTTCAAACTTCCCAGGCTTATGACGGTCCAGAGAGAACCTTCGGAATTCCGCCCCAAACTGCAATGCAAGAGACAGGGGTTGGGGTGGGGGGGCATTAATAAACACCAGAGAAATATCTAGAAACAGGGTGTGGTTAGTGTACTTAGCAAACAAGCATTTATATTCCACATTTTCTTTAATCAATCATCCACTGATAGACACTTAAGTGATTTCATCTTTGCTATTATGAATCGTGCTGGAATGAAGATACAAATGCAGGTATTCTTTTAATACGATTTACTTTCCTTTGGGTAGAAACACATAGTAAGACTGCGGGATCCAGTGGTAACTCCATTTTCAGTTCTGAGATATCTCATACCGTTTTCTGCAGAAGCCGATGAATTTAAAATGTTGTATTAAAAAAATAAAAGGACAAGCATTTATTAATTCTCCACAAGGTCCTGGGGAGATAGTGACAAACAGCTCAGTTCTCACAGAGCTCGCAGTGACTAAATAAGAAATTATAACACAGGAAGAGGGACCCTAAAAAATTAAAAGCAGTAATGACTCAGGCAGCAGCTCTCTCATCCACACTGACCCAGGACGGCCCTCTCGTCCACACTGACCGAGGGGCAGCTCAGTCATGAACACAGATGACTATCCTGAGGACGGGATAGGACAGGCTGTGTAGCTCATGTTGTAGGAAAAAGCAACGTCAAAATTAACGTAAATTTTTTGGGTGGCATGAAAGGAGAATCCTTCCTCAGCAAGGTCCCTTGCCTCATCTGAGGTTGCTGAGGCGGCATCTGCACAGCTCCGGGAAGGCCTTAGGAAACTCAGAGGCAGGAGAGGATGCAAGGCCGAATGAAACCTCAGAACTTTTTCCAAAGGCAAAAGACCATTAAGACCGTACAGGTCTTAATTTTAAGCTAGGAAGTGTCTTCATTAGATTTCTATTTTAGTAAGACAAAATGGTTACATTTCAAAAGGATCAGAAGTAGACGTAATATTGCAAGAATAAAGGAACCTGGTTAAAATCAGACAAGTCCAAGGGAGACAGGATGATGGTCTGGTCTCTTTCCCAAAGGTGGCATGTACACCCCCCTCTGAGCTGTTATTAGGTGGTCCAGGTTTGGGAATGTCTAGGGACTAACCTATTTTCCAGCAGACCCTAACCCTGGCCCAGAAGCCCATGAGCTGCCCACAGAGCTCCAGGATACCCTCCAAGAGAGGACCCCCGGGGGACATGAGGTTAGGGTCATGCCCAAGGGTTCTGGCTCCTGTCATTCCTCACTTGGCAATTAGGAACCTTTATTCATCAGGTGGTACATATTCTGTGCTCTTCAATACAGCTGAAAACTAATTACATTGGTTCCAAAATATACAAAAATAAAGTGTCTAATGTTTATGGAAAACTAGTCATTATATCATCTAGACACTGTAGGAATGAGTCAGGGAAAATCATCTAAACTCATGTGTGCTTGCACCAGGATCACCTGGAGGCCCCCCAGAATTCTGGATTTGACTGTGCTCAGGTACAGCCCAAGAATCTGCATTTTTAACAAGTTCCTGAAAGAGCTGATGCTATTGATCTGGGGACCATACACAGAGAACCACTGGTTGTATGAGAATCAGCCACTAGACCTTGACCTCCACAGATTCTTTGTGAAACTGAATTGCTCGAGAACAAATCTCCTTTCCTACCTCCCTTTCAAAAAGCACTTTCCCCAGGTTACCAAAGGCAAAACAAACCTCTCACCCATCGTGCACTGCCCTCGGCAATTAAAAAAACAAAAATCCCCAGGGCTCACCACAATGGGATAGTTCAAAATACTGGCTCGGGGCAGGCACGGTGGCTCACGCCTGTAATCCCAGCAGTTTGGGAGGCCAAGTAGGGCGGATTACTTGAGGTCAGGAGTCCATGACCAGCCTGGCCAACATGGTGAAAACCCATCTCTACTAAAAATACAAAAAAAATGAGCCAGGTGTGGCGGCATACACCTGTAATCCCAGCGTCTCAGGAGTCCGAGGCAGGAGAATCACTTGAACCTGGGAGACGGAGGTTGCAGTGAGCCAAGATCACGCCACCGCACTTCAGCCTGGGCAAAAGAGTGAGACTTGGTCTCAAAAATAATAACAATAATAATGGTTCGGGAGAAGCCACTTCCAATGACTACTCAAAACTCCTCTAACCTACTATCTATGTACTCAGTAAGGGAAGAAGTGTGACCCCAGAACTCGGTGTCTGGACAGGTACATGCTCTGAACACAGCTGCACTCTGGAAGGGGCAAAGGAAAGGGCTCTCCTCTATCTCCTGCTAGTGTCCGAAGTGCAGAGCAAACCCTTGAAATCCCTCCCCATTATTCAAAGGGACACGTTACACTTCTGCTCAGCGTTCACCCAAGGATGCCGCTGGCACAGCACGTAGGCAATGCAGATTCTTTCACACAGGGGCTCCAAAACTTTAACACACACATGTAAAGCCTACAACATAAGTTTTATGCAGCATCTGTTAGATCCAGTTTCCAATAAAATCACAAAGCATTTATTTCACAAACATCAATCCTTGTCTTTGCCATCTCATAGAGCTCATATATACTCACATGGTTTGCATCTGTGTCCCCACCCAGATCTCATGTTGAATTGTAATCCCCAGTGTTGGAGGAGGGGCCTGGTGGGAGGTGACTGGATCATGAGGATGGAGCTCTTACGAACGGTTAAGCACCATCTCCCAGTGCCGTTCTCTTGACGGTGAGTGAGTGAGTGAGTGATCACGAGATCTGGTTGTTTTAAAAGTGTGTAGCACCTTCCCCCTCTTTTAGTCCTGCTCCTGCCATGTAGGAAGCCTACTCCCATCTTGCCTTCTGCCGTGAGTAAAAGCTCCCTGAGGCCTTCCCAGGAGCAGCTTCCCACTATGCTTCCTGTGCAGCCTGTGGAACCATGAGTCAATTAAGTCTCTTTTCTGTATAAATTATCCAGTCTCAGGCATGTTTTTATAGCAATGCAAGAAGGACTAATACAGAAAATTGGTAGCAAGGAGTCGGGCATTGCTATAAAGATACCTGAATATGTGGAAGCTGGAATTGGGTGTGGAGGGCTCAGAAGACGACGGGAAGATGAGGGAAAATCTGGAACTCCCTAGAGATTGTGGAATGGTTGTGACCAAAATGCTGATAGTGATATGGACAATGAAGTCCAGGCTGAGGAGGTCTCAGATGGAAATGAGGAACTTACCGGGAACTAGAGTAAAGGTCACTGTGATGGTTAATACTGAGTGTCAACTTGATTGGATTGAGGGGTAGAAAGTATTAATCCTGGGTGTGCCTTTGTGGGTACTGCCAAAAGAGATGAACATTTGAGCCAGTGGGCTGGGGAAGGCAGATCCATCCTTAATCTGGTGGACACAATCCAATCAGCTTCCAGCGAATATAAAGCAGGAAGAAAGGGCCAGGCGTGGTGGCTCACACCTGTAATCCCAGCACTTTGGGAGGTCGAAGCGGGCGGATCATGAGGTCAGGAGATCGAGACCATCCTGGCTAACACTGTGAAACCCCGTCTCTACTAAAAATCCAAAAAAATTAACCAGGTGTGGTGGTGGGCACCTATAGTCCCAGCTGCTTGGGAGGCTGAGGCAGGAGAATGGAGTGAACCCAGGAGGTGCAGGCTGCAGTGAGCTGAGATGGTGCCACTGCACTCTAGCCTGGGCAACAGAGTGAGACTCTGTCTCAAAAAAACAAAACAAAACAAAACACCACAAACAAACAAAAAAAAACAGGAAGGAAAACCTGCAAAGGAGAGATGGGCCTCGCCTCCCAGCCTACATCTTTCTCCCGTGCTGGATGCTTCCTGCCCTACAACATCACACTCCAAGTTCCTCAGTTGTGGGACTTGGACTGGCTCTCTTTGCTCCTCAGCTTGCAGACGGCCCGTTGTTGGACCTTGTGATCAAGAAAGTTAATACTTTATCATAAACTCTCCTCTCTCTCTCTCTATATATATACACTCTCCTATATATGAGTTTATATATATATTTATACAAATAAAAAATACATATATAAAATACAAATTCTATACAATTTTTATATATTTAATATAATTTATATATTTAATATAGTTTTATATGATTATATAAAATATAATATTTTACATAAAAATGTATTTTTATATATATATCTCCTATTTGTTCTGTCCCTTTAAGAGAGCACGGACTAATACTAATACAGTCATTTTTGCTATGCTTCAGCAAAGATCCTGGCTGCCTTTTGTGCCCCTGCTCTAAGGGATCCGTGGAACTCTGAAGTTGAGAGTGTGTATCTGGTGTAAGAAATTCTAAATGGGAAAGCATTCAAGATGTGGCCTGGCTGTTTCTAACAACCTATGCTCATATGCGTGAGCCAAGGAATAACCTAAAGCTGGAATTTGTGTTTAAAAGGGAAGCAGAGCATAAAAGTTCAGAAAACTTGCAGCCTGGCCACGTGGTAGAAAAGAAAAGTCCATTTTCAGGGCAGGAATTCAAGCAGGCTGCAGAAATTTCCGTAACTAAAAGGAAGGCAAATGCTGATAGCTAAAACTATGGGGAGATAACCTCAAAGGCATCTCAGAGACCACGATGGCAGCCCCTCCCAAAATAGGCCCAGAGGCCTAGGAGGGCTGAATGGCTTTCTCGGGCTGACCCAGGGCCCCACTACCCTGTGCAGCCTTGGGACATTGCTCCCTGCATCCTGGCCTGTGGCTCAAAGGGGCCCAGGTACAGAGGGACACTGCTTCAGGGGGCACAAGCCATAAACCTTGGCAGCTTCCACATGGGGTTAAGCCTCTGGGTGTACAAAATGCAAGATTTGAGGCTTAGAAGCCTCCGCCTACATTTCGGAGAATGTATGGAAACACCTGCATGCCCAGGCAGAAGTCTGCTGCAGGGGCAGGGCCCTCATGGAGAACCTCTACTAGGGCAGCGCAAAGAGGAAATGTGGGGTTGGAGCCCTGCTACAGAGTCCCCACTGGGGCACTGTGCAGTGGAACTGTGAGAAGAGGACCACATCCTCCCGACCCCAGAATGGTAGATCCACTCACAGTTTGC